ATTCCCCTATCCTTCTGATTTGAAAGCACTAGAAACCTTTAAAAAAAGAAGTGTAAATGGTTTGTCACTAAGGATGATGAATCATTGATTCTCAGGTGTGGCCTTGGGGTTTACTGGTTTATAACTGCCTCTACTGTTACTTCTAGGCTAAGTTGACAATTTGTAATGCTGTTGGTCTGGAGTACATTTGAGTAAAATAAGAGGTCCGTATGGTTGCCTGACTCTCAGGAAGCCAACTTGTTGCTGAGCTTGTCTGTGTATATCAACATAAATTCCAAAAAAGGATCAAGGTTTGAAAAATGAATTCATTTTGAACTGATTACATTCTCTTTATTACATTGTAAATCCGCCAATGCTGAGCAAAGCAGTGCAGGAGTTTAATGCCAAAAAGTACATTACATTCTGAGTTTTAAGAATTGTCATGGTTCAAGAAAAGGTCAGAAACACTCTTCTTCTGTCTCCCTAGAGTGGAAATGTGTGAAGTGTGTTTCCTTTTTCTGCCACGCTTCCTTCTTTTTTAGAGGAATGTCCAGGCTGCTTCCAAATAAAATGAATATCCTGTTTTGGAACACTCAAAAACCTTGGCAGCAACAAGCTAGAGAAAGAAGGCAAATGAATGACAGGACTGATATTCCTTATGCAGGTTTTCTGTTTAAAGGACAATCCATACAAACAATGTCTTTTTCAAGTTTTGGGTTATTTTCTGTCCAGGTCTTTTATTTACTGTTTCCTCCTACATTGTTGTTGATGAGTTTCCTTTGAAGCTATTTTTAACCAGTTTTGAAAGTATTTCATTCAATTTCTTTGTCTCATCTCAAGTGTCTTAACACACTCTATAAACCCAAGAAATTTCTCTTATTTCTATTTGCATCAACATTCACTTCAAAATAATATTGAGCTAGCCCCCCGGCATGGCACCAATACAACCTGCTGCCAACCATGAATTTATTGGGGAAATGAACAAGATCATTCCAGGCCTTAGGCCAACAGGGTGGGTCTAGCTGCTTTGTAGCACAGATAGACTCTGTTATCAGCATTCTCAGTAGAATCATTTGCCAGGTTGCACAGCTATAGTCCTGTGATTTTATTCTCAGGTGTGGCCTTGGGGTTTACTGGTTTATAACTGCCTCTACTGTTACTTCTAGGCTAAGTTGACAATTTGTAATGCTGTTGGTCTGGAGTACATTTGAGTAAAATAAGAGGTCCGTATGGTTGCCTGACTCTCAGGAAGCCAACTTGTTGCTGAGCTTGTCTGTGTATATCAACATAAATTCCAAAAAAGGATCAAGGTTTGAAAAATGAATTCATTTTGAACTGATTACATTCTCTTTATTACATTGTAAATCCGCCAATGCTGAGCAAAGCAGTGCAGGAGTTTAATGCCAAAAAGTACATTACATTCTGAGTTTTAAGAATTGTCATGGTTCAAGAAAAGGTCAGAAACACTCTTCTTCTGTCTCCCTAGAGTGGAAATGTGTGAAGTGTGTTTCCTTTTTCTGCCACGCTTCCTTCTTTTTTAGAGGAATGTCCAGGCTGCTTCCAAATAAAATGAATATCCTGTTTTGGAACACTCAAAAACCTTGGCAGCAACAAGCTAGAGAAAGAAGGCAAATGAATGACAGGACTGATATTCCTTATGCAGGTTTTCTGTTTAAAGGACAATCCATACAAACAATGTCTTTTTCAAGTTTTGGGTTATTTTCTGTCCAGGTCTTTTATTTACTGTTTCCTCCTACATTGTTGTTGATGAGTTTCCTTTGAAGCTATTTTTAACCAGTTTTGAAAGTATTTCATTCAATTTCTTTGTCTCATCTCAAGTGTCTTAACACACTCTATAAACCCAAGAAATTTCTCTTATTTCTATTTGCATCAACATTCACTTCAAAATAATATTGAGCTAGCCCCCCGGCATGGCACCAATACAACCTGCTGCCAACCAGGAATTTATTGGGGAAATGAACAAGATCATTCCAGGCCTTAGGCCAACAGGGTGGGTCTAGCTGCTTTGTAGCACAGATAGACTCTGTTATCAGCATTCTCAGTAGAATCATTTGCCAGGTTGCACAGCTATAGTCCTGTGATTTTTTTTCCAACAGCTATGCAGAGAAATAGTTGTCCTATTATAGTGGCACTTCTTTGACAGTTACTAGAAAACAAATTAAAAGTATGATATTTAGTGTGGCTCAATTCCATTATTTTCAAGAACCCTGAGATCGAACATTAATTATTAACCAGTTATCTAATCTGTAAGAGATAAAGACCCTACAAATGCTATGATTTTAGGATTTGTAACAGTTGCAGAGATTACATACACTTTCATTTGTGCTCACAAGCATCTATGCTCATAAAATTATTCCTTTTTTATTGTGGAGAACTAGGATCTATTCTCAGATTTCTAGGATGCATTTAGGTGTTATTAATGGGATTAAAAAATTTGTGTTTATATTTTAAAATGCATGCATATCTTTAAAGGCATGGCAGGCAAACTGAAACCCCCCCCTTTTTTTTCCTCTAAAATGAACAAACCATCCATCTGGGTATATTCATTTGCTTACCAGTATATATAGCCAGTTTCTTAGTTTAAACATATGGTTATAGAACTGGTTATTTATAATCTTGAATGCTATAATATAGAGTCCACAATCAGGGATGGCTGTCTTTATGTAAAAGCAGAGTATGTGGCCACTTAGATGTTTCAAAAGAGTTGTGCCATAAAACATTTTCCTGCAAATGACTTCTTTGCAAATTACTGAATTTTATTTAAAGTACATATAAATCCTTTGGGAATGCCTCATTTGTAAATGAGTTTATCAGATGTTTTCCTCTCCACCTCTGTCCTCTGCCCAAGCATTTATGCCCTATCCTCTTGGGGAAGGTGGAAAAACTGTTACAGGATGGGAGGTTTGTTGCTAAGAGTCTTGGTAGTTAGGTTATATCTGTTTCATAGTTTTGTCTAAGATGTACCCTGTTTGTGAAACATGGATGATGAGATCCATACACCCACTTTAATCTAGGACATTTTTCTTCGTAGCAACTTGCAAAATCAGTTTATTTCAGAGCTTAATTTTATGTTATAATGTCTTACCAGACAAAAGAAAGATTCAGGATATAAGTGCAAAACAGTAGGAGAAATTAAATGTTTATTTTAGTTGCTCTCCTAAACTACTCAGTGTATGTTAATAAAGCATAAAGAGTCATAACTGGAAACTTAAAATTTTACCTTAAATAGGTCTAATTCACCTTTGAGACAGTTTGTTTACAGAACATCTTCAGGTTCCATCTTAGAAAAATGAGTGATGATGGAAGGCAATTTTTTTCAATTTAAATAACAGGTATTCTGCTCAAGTTTGGTTTGTCTGCTTCTTATTTTATAGGGGCAATAGAGTTAAGACCAAAATCATCTGTAAACATTGAATACAAATGTCATGTGAAAATGTACTTAAATTACTGTAGCATCTCAGTTATACACTCCAACTGACTACATAAGTCCAAATGTATTCTGAGCCTTCGCTTGAAAATTCACATGTCATAGAGTGACTTTGGGAGTGTTACACTTAGAGCTTCCAGGACCAACCCAATCCTCTATTGTTTGCACGCCTTGCTTGCACTATGGTCTGTTTTTTATCTTTATCTGCATTTCTAGTTACGTATTTGGTTAGGATTTCCAAATGTTTATACGCAAAAATGCAAAATTAGTTAAAGTCTGTGATCAGTAAAAATTAATTTTCAATGCACTTATTATTATTTAGTATATGAATAATCATTTGGATATTTTTTAAATGGCTGATATCTATTCCATGATGAACTAATATTTTCTACTTGTATGTATTCAATTTGTAATATTTGTTATATGGTTAATAGCCCATATATTTTATTTGAAGTTATTTAAGAGTGTGAAATTTTCCTTTCCTTTCTTTCTTTTTACAATATTGATGTAGATTCATCTATTTAAAAATATTTTGCAAAATTTGAGTCTTACCTGCACTGGATTTTTTGGAAATAAAATTACCAATTTATATTCTGAGTATCTGATACCTACCCAGTCCCCAAATCTTTAATCAAAAGAAACAAAAGGCTAAGATTCCTGTTTGTTTATAGAAAAATATTTTCTTTCACAGGACTACAAATAGGATAGATAAAAAGAGTATAAATAGCTCTGTCCATTCTATTTCTTAGGTGATATTTTATTCAGAAAATAAAATGACAGGAAGGTCTAAACTTCTGTAAATACGATATGACTAGAATTTCCTCTTATAAATAGTTTTTCTTTACCTGGGGTTCACTGAGCAGGGGGCCCAGGTATGGGTTCAGGGTATGCAGGAACCTCCTGAGAATAACTATTAATTATAGCTACTCTGCAAAAGATTCTTTAGCCTACAGACATTACAAACTGTATAATCTTCTTTATCTCATCTTGAATATTCCCAAATTATCTTAGAGGCTGAAGAGACATTTTTGAGAGGAGGCTACTTTACCTTCTTAGAGTCTGTAGAACTCATAGCAAGCAGCACTAACTGTTGAAAGACAATTGCCCATCATTATGGGTTAGTAATGATGTTTCAAATTCATGTGTAATAGGTGGTTAAATAATATTTTTTTATTGTATTCTTCTAAACTTAAACTCAAAACTGATGTTTGCAAAGATGTCACCATTGTATGATTTAAGTAATTAATCATATAATTTGCTATTCCTCTCATTTATAGTAAAGTCACTTGTGATTAGTCATTATAACTTTATTCTACTTTTGTATAAAATAATACAATAAGTAATTTAATGAAAAAGTATGGAAAGGAGCACTTTTTTCCCAAGGAATAAAAACTTCTGTACTTTTAGTTCATATGATAATATGAGCAAACAGAATAATCAGTAAAAATGTTGTGAAAAGAACACAGAGAAAAGAAATCTGTTCAAAGAAATCTGTTCAAGCATGCCTAGCATGCTAGAGGATACCTCTGTCATGCCGACTGCTAGAACTCATGGTTTTCCTTTTGTCTTCCAGAAAGAATGTGCCAATTTCATCAAGGTGCTTAAGGCTTATAATCAGACTCACTTGTATGCCTGCGGAACGGGAGCTTTTCATCCAATTTGCACCTACATTGAAATTGGACATCATCCTGAGGTAAAGCTGGCTTTTAGAAAATGGTGTTTGTCCATGACCCCTTCCTATTCAAATACTTCATTACTAATTACTTCAGTTCATTTAGCTCCTAGTTTGCTATTCAGTGGGACCTACTTCAAATTCAGATGCTGAATTTATTAATTTTAATCTGTGGATGCAAAGAGAATGAGACCATCACTCAACAATAACTATGAAACAGGAGGAGGAAGGAAGAAAGCATTACTTTTGCTTGGATTACAAAGTCCAGTCCATTTTGCATGTGCAGCAGATGTCAGCAGGCTGAATGTGTACTGTTTTCTCCTTCATTTGTATATTGCCAGCTTCCCCCCACACCCCCTATTTCCATCCTCAGCCAGAAGTGTCTGCCACCCCAGTTGTTTTCTTCTGCCTAGGGATTAAGAAAGGATGCTGTACATGTGCACAATGATATGATGTCATGTTTGACCTAAATTATTTACATTTGTGTTCTTGCTCAGCTAAACTTTGCTTTTATATTTTTGGCTATTATTCAGGCAGTATGGTAAAGAAAAAAAATGTTTCTTTAATTTATCTATTGTTCCTAAAAGATATTTTAGTGAGGAAATTCGTATTAGGTAAATTTAAATAAAATGGAAAATTAGGGAAATATTTAAAGAAAAAGGTACTAATATTGAAAGCAGTTTCATGAATTGGACTTACCAGTAGTTTTCAATTATAGGCCCTTTTATAAATTTTGGCACAAAATTCTAAGAAGAACAAAAGCGTTCATGTGGTGAGAAAATCATTTGTGACAGAATTTTCTTCCAAATTGGAATTCAGAAATACTCAACAAATTAGGGCTTTGCTCCTGGAATATTTCTGGAATTCTAAAATGAAATATAATTTACAGGTGAGCCACTTCTTTGTAACTTAAATTCTAAATTCTCTCTCTCTGAATTTTCTTAAGGAGTCCTAAAGTGATACAGATACATTCTTTTGACCCAAAATCTTGCAAATCAAAACAATTTGTTTCTTACCTTCTTTGGATAAAAAGACACCTCAGAGACTATGAAGTTTCTAGACTAAACACAATTATTGTTACTTTCCTGATGGTCCTGGGAAGATTAAAACACTTTCCCATGGTCTCACCAGTTTAGGCATTTGCTATTCCCCCACCAGCATCCTTTGTCTTTCTCTACCTTACAAGCACATGTATGGAACTTGCTGACATCCCCAGGAGGTTAGTTAAAAACTAACTGTAAAGAAACCCAATTTTACTTAAATTACTGTTTCATATTGATTAAATTAGGAATCATTTCCTACACATTTTCCTGGGACTTTGTACACTTGCATTTTTTAGCACCTTCTAGATAAATCTCTCCCTCTTTGATTCTTTCTCAACTACTTCCTATAGTAGGGTAGCCTAAAACTTGCATCCAAGGTGATTGTCCCACTTTTCTGTATTCTGTAGCTCTAGAGAATGCCCTGCACATCATAGCACTTTTCACATCTGCCAGGCATCATGCTGTACAGGGAAGAAGTCAGGATAGCTGAGCTCCTAGCACAGGTCAGTAGAGAAGACATGGCCTTTGGGGTCACATCTGCCTTATGATCTAGTTTTACAATTTACCAGCAGTGGAGCACTGGAAAAATGACTTAACCTCTCTGAGACTGTGTCTCATAATACATAAAACAAAACTAAAGAAAACGTTAATCCTCAGTGTCCTTACATTTCCAATGAGAGGTTGGCTTACTACCTCCAGCTGCTTTCCTAGTGCGGCTTGACCCACTGATATTTTTACTATGGAAACTCAAGGTGCTCTAATCCCATCATTGTTCAACTCATGTCCTCTGGCTCAGACCGCAGGCTTTGGACTGACCTCAATTGTGCACTAGATGCTTGATCTGGAGCAAGCTACTTAATTTCTTTGTGTCTGTTTCTAATCTACAAAGTGATAACGAGAATGGCCTCTACCTATAAGCTTTTTGTGAAAGTTTAGCATTGTCTGAAAGGAAGTAGGTGCTAAGAAAAGTCACTTATTATTTTTAAAATACAAACCTGAACCACAGGCTGAAAACTGTGTTGCTGTATTTCATGTTAGTAATTGCTACCTTGCCTCTGAAATGTACCTCACTTCGTCAAAGACTACGAATCTGGGCTCTCGTTGTTGTCAAGTGATTCTGCACTTAATTTCCCCCATTTTATATTTGGAGCCTAGATGATCTTGATGGCCATGTAAATGAAAATACCATATATTGTTTCCATGTTACTATCATTTTCCCCAAAATGTTGATTTTCTTTTTATTTTGGTGTTGCTATTTAGTAGATTTCACAGCATATCTCCTTCTCAATTCATCAAGTGCTCATCACTGACTTATGGATAGGTGGAAGAACAGAGAGGCACAGATTCTGGAGCCCGGGCATTTACCAAAAATGGAGGAGGCTGTTCCCTCCACTAAAATAAATAAATGAAGCTTCCTATCTAGTCTCCTTTGAGGTGGGATATTGGGGTGCAAGTATTATCCTAAGATTGTGAAACTCAGAGCCTTTGAGAGAGGTCTTCCTTTAGAAGCATAGTGATCTTGATTGGCGTGGCAATATATTGGAAAATACTGTTCCAGACTGTTCAGAAGGTCAGAGGAAAAATAATTATGCAGTTACCTGGGGGAATTTTGAGCAGTCTAGACAGTCCATCTAGGAAATTCTGGAAAAGATATCAAGATAGCTCGTCTAGCCAACATGAAATTTAAATTTTAAGCTGCCTTAAGAGAGAATCTGCTTTACATTGATCTATACTGGTACTTAAAATACTACCTTTGTGTTTTAACAGTTGTGCTATTTGTAAAGTTGAGAAAGAGAGATAGTATGTGCTTCATACAGTTAGGAAAAGAATGACAGTAATGGAAAGATTGGAAGACTATGAAATGAAATATCAATCAGGACTGAGACCAGGATTGTTGGATTAGAGTTTATAAACTCTCATGAAGTTTGAATTTAGTAGCTTTTATTTACAAGGATGGCTTTTCAAATAGAACCAGGACACAAATTTGTTCTATATTCTAGTTTGGAGTAGCGTGTGTACTTGCCATATCTGCCCCACGCTACATAAAATAACCGTTTCCTTTTTAAACTCCCATCCAGGTTTTACATACTACAAATAATTTTATCATATGAAAAAGGACATTTTACTTTTTTGCTTTTATCATGGCTTTCCTGAACATTTAACGTGTAATTTTTTTTGTTGTGTTCTTTTTTAAAGTAACTCATCTTAGATTGAGTCCCCAGATTGTTGAAACCCAATGTTAGAAAATGGGCTTATCATTCCAGATGGCTGAATACCACAGAAGTAAGACATCACTTTTGAAGCAGATCAACAATCCCTTCATCATTTAATAGCTTTGGATCTTGTATGAGGGAATTAACAATTTCTTTCAAATAATGATAAAGAGTTTGCAAATTAAAAACTCTTGTTTAGTCTGCCAGTTATGAAAATAAACCTTGTTTTACTGTCATATCATTTTAATAACAATAGTTACACTTCTGAAACTGTATCCCAAAATCTGCTCTTGATGTATAGTGAATGCCAGCTGACCACACACAGTATGTCATTGATTATTGTATTAAACAGATACTCTGTTTCCTGTAATACAGTTGGGAATTGGTAGACATATTAACTAATTCCAGTTCTATAAGATGCATGTCAATCAATTCCTGGATATCTGCCAATAGTACTTGACACTGCAGAAAACTGCCAGTGAGGTCACATTCTTCATACACATGTGTGTGTTCATCATAAAAATGCACGTGGAGTTCATGGAAGGAATGATTCAGAGCTCTAGAGTACAGATGTATTTCCAGTTAAGCTCTCAGCATCCATGTCATTCAAATGAAAAGTATAAGTCATCCTTATTAGATGGAATTTCCCCAAATGGCTTACAGTATATGGTGTTTCCCCTTCAAATTTACATCTGTTAATAAAAAGAAGTATGAATTTGGAAGAAGTATAGCTTTTCAAAGAAATCTCTCAGTGTTTTCTCAAATTCCAAATTTCTATGTACAGGGAAGGAATTCTAAAGAAAGATGGATCCAGTTGGTAGCTGGAAAATATTAACTCTATAAATACTCTCATAATGTCATGATCTTGATTTATGATAGAACCAAAGGGATATTAAGAAATGCAATGAAGCTTAATAGGTATCTCTAAAGTCATTTCTACAATGACAACCAATATATCTACATATAAAATAAAGTACTTTGTCTCATTCTTCCCTTTTACCAAGAATAAAAATTTGATTTTATGGGAGACTTTGAATCAGAGTTTTAGTAACCAGTCCAAGGCCAAAATGCTATTTAGGTGGTCGTGCTCTGTTGACTACTTTATAGATCTAATATAAACTCTTCTAATTGAGTCATCTGTCTCAATGCATTATGTTGTTTGGCCCAATAAAATGCAAGTTTATTATTAGGAGGAGAGAATAAAGGTGAGAAATGTAGATTTCTTGATAAAACAATAAGGAGTTACTTTTGGGGAAGTAACACCTTTCCATCTTTCTTAGATCATACATTGGAGTCTAAACTTACTTTGTAGCAGGCTAACCTGGGTGGAAAAGTCTGGATTCCTTGGAGATTTCTTCTCAGCTACTCATTATTTTTATCAGAGGCAGTGTGTCACTCATTTGCACTGCATACCTAAGCCACATGTGATTAGAGCAAGCCCTTAATGGTTTCTAGGTTTTCCTTTCCTGATCTCTCAATACTTGAATCATGTAGGAAGGTAGATTTGTATAAGTTATCATGTTGAATAAACAATATCACCATTTATACTGAAATTAAATTCTAAAATGCTCCATTGTTTGTATTGGAGGAAAAGCATCACAGTTCATAAATTCTGAGTGACCTTAACAGTTCACCAATATATTTTCCATGAAATATTAACATTCCTAGCTCTAAATATTATCAATAAGACTGTTTCTCAAAATTAATAGAACTAGTAACCAAATGAGGTAATAGGGAGACCCAAGTTATGAATAGAAACAAGTCT